AAAATCATCATGGTTTGACATATTTTACAGGGGAGAGTTGAAGAGAAAAGGGTTTGAGTGACACTTTTATTGAAGAAAATAACAGAAGGTGTTTCTTCATCTGTAGAACTCTGGTTGAGCTGCTGGGGTTCAGGTAACTGTTAAGGTCACTTAGGAAAGGTGACACACAATCATACACTGTGACAAAACAAATACACCAACAAACAAAAACTTGAAAAGCTGGTTGTTTGGGGGCTCTGCCCCAAGGGAGAGAAGCCCCATTCTGTGTAGGTGGCCAGGTGAGTATGTGAGGTATTTATTCTGGCAGGTGAACCAGTAGATTTGGGGAGTGGATGAGAATGCTTTCTACCACCAATAAACCTCCTGACATCCAGAACTCTGAGCACGGCCATCCACCCACTGCTCACCTGGTCCACAAATGGCAGGGCCCACACAGAGGTAGTGTCAAAATTTTATTTGGGAAATGTTCATGACCACTATGACTATTAAAACCTTGGCCCACCAGTTTATCGGCTCTCATCAGTTTCTGAACCCTGGTTTAGATGCAAACCTGTGTGCCTCAGTCTCCCCACTTCACGTGGGGAGTTGCACAGTGATTAACCCTGGCAGGTGCATAGCAGCCACTTAGGTCAACAGCGAGCTGTTCAGAGTGTTCTGAGGGCCCTCACGCTGTTCCAGGAAGGTCTGTGTCACTGGGCCTGTGAAATCTGAGGCCCAAAAGGCGATGGAGATGGGTGCACATTGTGCCCATCGCCCTGGTGCTGGGGGCGAGTGCCACCAGTGTGCGCAGTGTCCCTTGGCTTTGCAGCACCATTTCGCTCGTAGCTGGCCAAGGTCAGCAGTTTCACCCCCTGGTAACATTTATAGCTTTATTGTGGCACTGGGGGCCACAATACGTCCCTCCTCTAGTCTATTTCAGTTGGAGCCTGGTCAAGGGGAAAAAGATCAGCAGTTATGGTGTGAGCAGCCGGAAGGGTGCGGCTGGAGCCTGCTCGGCAGGAGTCTGAGCGCATGGATTTTAGCTCTGGCAGTGCTGTGCTAAAATGCCAGCTCTGCCACAAATGGTAATGGCTGGGGCTGACTTTCCAGTATTGCTAAGACTCAGTGCCCCTATTTGTAAATTGGAGATAAGAAGAACCTACCACACAAGGTTCATATTGTTTAGCTGAACTATAGGTAAAGGGCAGGTCATAGGGCTTGGCACAGAATGTGAGCTCGGTCTATAGCATTGTCCTTCTTCCTCTAGTGGCAGCTGAACTATATGTAAAGGGCAGATCATAGGGCTCGGTCTATAGCATTGTCCTTCTTCCTCTAGTGGATCTTTCTCGGTGTGAGTTGCCCAGGCCAGTCTGGGAGAAGAAGCTGCCTTCTCCCGCAGTCTCTGACTCCACAGTGGGGCTGCTTCTCAGACTTGCCCGCTTCTACCTCTTTTAGTGCCAGAGGGAACAGAGGCTCCTCAGAACTTGCCTTCTACCCAGTTCTGACGAGGCTACAGACCCAATCTCCTATGATATATCACAGGTATGATACTGATCACTGCCTAAAAGTAACTGCTCTGGGGTTCCAGGTCCTCCCTAGCTTCTCTTTTCAGTGTGTGTGTATACCACTTCTGGGGGTCCCAGGCTCTGTGTACTGATAAACGATTGCAGAAACCTTTAGCTCTTACCCTAGCCAGGCACGTGGTCGTCTAGACGTGGGACCCTTCAGTCATTTGTCCTGAATCACCATTTTGGTAAATAGATCATATGTTTCCAAGATCACAGGAGCTTTCTGACAGCCTCTTGCCCTGGCCCCCACCATGCGTGAGAACTGCTTCCCACTCCCCCACATGCACACATTCCCTTGCTTCCAACTGCAGTTGCCTGACCACTGAGCTCCTATCTTGTTGTTTGCCTGGTTTTGGTTTCACTTGTCCTGTAGGTTTTTGGGTAAATTGTCTTTGATCCTTTTGAAAGTAAATAACATGTAAATAAATCTGTGTAGAAGCTCTTTAAAACATTAACTTGTGTTGCCCAGTTAACTAGTTCCTGTTAAGAGTCAAGCTTGTCTGGGGGTCTCTGTTTATTGAAGAGTTTCTGGAGATTATAGTAGGTTAAAGTATACTTGTTACCATTTGCAGTTACTTATTTGTGTTAATCAGGATTCCTCAGTATTGTGCTAACAGTCAATATAAAATATAGAAAGAAGTAAGAAGAGAACTGCCTGTGGTTAAATAGCATAATCCCTGATTTGGGTTTTATTTTATGTGTTTATGAAGTAACCTTTTTATTCACATAGAGCCTATGCCACAGATCAGCTTATTATTATAATAAGTAAATATTATATTTACTTATAAAATTGAATACCATATAAAACTTATGAAATACATTTTTACAAATTCTTTTAAAGTACATTTCTATAGTTGTATATTGTCAGTGTAGGCTAACCATTGTAGCATACAATCTTCACATTTCAATGTCTTAATTTATATCAAAATACAATGTAAGTCACCAGAGAGATTGTTTCACTGTCATTCAAGGGCTTGACTTATTCTCCCCTGAGGCTCCACCTTCTTCTGGGTCCTCATAGTGCTTTATGGATGGGGAAAGTGAGGAACCTGTAGGAGGGGGTCTCGTAGTCCAGGGTTCCCCAATCCCCGAGCCACGAGCCCCATCCATGGCCTGTCAGGAACTGGGCTGCACAGCAGGAAGTGAGCACTGGGTGAGTGACTGAAGCTTCATCTGTATTTGCAGTTACTCCCCAGTGCTGATATCACCGCCTAAGCTCTCCCTCAGATCATCAGGCATTAGATTCTCATAGGAGCACTGGTCCCTGCTGCCAAAAAGGTTGGGGACCACTGTTAGTCAAAACTGTTAGCAGGTTTGTATGGGCTAGGCAGGCCTGCAAGTGTTGCCCATCACTTCAGAACTCAATTGCAGGGTCATCACACCTGAATGTAAGGAAGTGTGTGTTCAGTAAGAGAATATGGATATTGGCGAGGAGCAGAAGTTTCTGCTATAGATATATAACCTTATTCATGTGTGAGTTTCCTCAAAGAGCTTGTAGTAGGCAGAATGATGGCCTCTCAAAGATGTCCACATCCTAATCCCCAGAACCTGCGAATGTGTCATCTTACATGCAAAAGGGACTTTGCAGATGTGATTAAGAATCTTGAGATGGAGAAATTTTCTTGGATAATCTGGGTGGGCCCAATATAATCAAAAGGGTCCTTATAGGTGGAAGAGGACGGCAGAAGAGTCAGAGAGAATGGTTCGATGATGCTACATGGTGGCTTTGAAGATGGAGGAAGGAGCTATGAGACGAGGAATGCAGGCAGCCTCTGGAAGCTAGAAAGGCAAGAGAACAGATTCTCTCTTAGATCCTCCAGAAGGAACGAAGCCCTGCAGACACCTAGATTTTATCCTAGTGAAATCTATTTTGGGCTTCTAATCCCTAAGACTGTAAGATAATAAATTTGTGTTGTTTTAAGCCACTAAGTTTAGGGCAATTTGTTACAGAACTATGGGAAACGAATACAGAGCTCATTCTCCTTTGTATCTCCACCATCCATGTGCCTGACCCATAGCAGTTTCACATAGTAGGTGCATTTTCACATGAAGTTCAATGGGGAGCAAAGCAAACCTGTGAAGCAGAAACTAAAATCATCAAGGAAGGTGGAGGCTGTGTCCTAAATATGGAGAGAGTGTTGTCATGGAGCCAAAGTAAGGGAAGAGACAGAACTTCCAAAAAGAAGGAGCCTTGGGTAGTGGTGGCCTGGAAGCAAGCAGCAGAGAAAGAAGCATGCCTGTTCCTTTCCTTGTCACTCTTTGAATCTGGCATGTGGGGATTGAAGTATTTTCTCATGCAGACATGATGCTGTCGGGGGAGCCCAGCTTCTAGCTGAGGAGCATGGGAGTGAGAGGCTCGCCAAGGCGAAGAGTGGGAGGAGTAGTGGTTAAAAGCTGGGGCTCGAGTCAGATTGCAAAGGCTCAGAGTCTGACCTCGTTCTCTTTCCTGTTGTATAGCTGTGTAATCTTAGATGTTGTGTTATTACTGCTGCAAAACAAACCACCCCAAAACTTTGTGATATAAACCAACCATTGTATTATGCTCATGCATTCTGTTCGTTTGACAGAACACAAGTGGGGACAAATTATTTCTGATCTGTGATTTCTGGGCCTTGAAAAGAGGGTGGGATTTAAGGGCTGGGATGACTCAATAGCTGGTGACTAGAGTCATCTTGAGTTTAATGTGGGCTGGCTGTCAGCTGGGCTCTCACCTGGAGTTCTCACCTAGAATGTCCACATGTAGCATGGAGGCCTTATGTGGAAGCTCAAGGCTTCAAAGGCAAGTGCCCCAACTCATAAAGTAGAGTGGCTTCTTTTATGACTTAACCTCAGAATTCATGCAGTATCCTTTCTCATGCATTCTCTTAGTTTACAGTCAAATCATAAGCCCATCTAGATCCAAGAGGGAAATTAGATTCTGCCTCTTGATTCAAGGGAGTGGCAAGGTTCTAACAGATATACCAGACAACAGATATTATTGCAGCTGTCTCTGAAAAATGCAATCTGCAACATTTGGCACTTTTGTTATGTTCTCTGAGATTTGTTTTTCTCGGCAGGAAGATAGTGGTAATAACTGTAACATTCTCATCTAGGTTAATGCAGCTGAAAAATCCATTGGCACAGTGCCTGGCATGTGATAACATTATGCGCTCTTAAGAGAGCAGAGGCCAGAGCTGTTCTTTTTCATGATTGTATCCACCGTGCCTTGCATAGTGCATGGCATGTGAATGAGCCTGAGAGGGTTGTGCCAGAATGGGGATTGCCTATCAGTGTGTCAGATAGCTATTGCTGTGTAACAAATCATCCCCAAATTTAGGATCTTATAACAACAGCCATTTTATTTGCTTGTGGTTCTATGGGTCAGCAATTCAGGCTGGGCTCAGCTCATTGGCTCTTCTGCTGGTCTCACCTGGGATTATTCATGTGGCTTCAGTTATGGGCAATTGACTAAGATTGGATGATCCAAGATAGCTTTATTTACACACTTGGTAGTTAGTGCTGACTGTCAACTGGAGTGCTTTTCTTCTCCATGCAGCCTTTGCAGCAGGCTAGCTCAGGCCCATTTGTATCACGGTCTCAGTCCAACTACAGCCAAAAGAGCAAGCCTAATTCCTGAAGCTTCTGGAGCTGTGGAGTCAGAATGCTAGGGATTGCTAATTCCTGTTGGCCAGGACAGGTCACAAGGCCAAGCCTAGATTCAAGGGATAGAGAAATAAGCTCCACCTTTGATGGGAAGAGTGGCAAAGTCACACTACAAAGTATACAGGGAGGAATTATTACAGCTGTCTTTGCAAACCATCTACCACAGTCGATACTGAGATGCAGAATAGAGGTTGGGAGGGAACCGGAGGCCCAATTAGCATGAGAGAGGTAGCAGGGAGAACTGCTGAGCACAAATGACAGTCAACCCACACAAAGAAGGACCCTGATGTCGGCAAGGAGACCTTTCTTCACCTTCTGCCTTACCCCACATGGAAACATTTCATCTCACATGACAGAACATGAAGGGCCTGGGCACGCTCCAGCTTGGCCGAAACAGCAACTCAGGGTCATCTGTCTCAGGCCCTTTCCCTTCACTCTCTGCCCTCCTCGATGAGGGCTTTGCCCTTTAGGCTCATAGCATGATGACTGCAGCAATCCCCAGGGTCACATCAAAGCATTTGTAGAGGGAAAAGTAGAAACCTTTCTCAGAATCCAGCCTAGCAGTCTTTCCCCTATAGCTTCTTTGCCAGGACTGGGATAAGAGAGTGAGATCACCACGGTCAGTTATATTAGTTTCCTGGGACTGCCAAAACGGAATACCACTTAGTAGGTAGCTTAAAGCCACAGAAATTAGTTTTCTCACAATTATAAAGGCTGGAAGTTCAAAATCAAGGTGTTGACAGGGCTATGCTTCCTTTGAAACCCATAGGGGGATCCTTCTTTGTCTCTTCCTAGCTTCTGGTGGTTCGCTCCAAATCCTTGCCATTCCTTGGCCTGAGGATGGATCTCTCTGCAATCCTCCATCTTCACATGGCCTTGTCTCTGTGTCTTCATGTCAGCTTCCCTCGGTGCATGTCTGTCTGTCCAAATTTCCCTTTTTTGTAAGAACACCACTTAAATTGGATTAGGCCTACCTTAATAACCTCATTTTAGCTTGATAATCTCTTTAAAGACCCTATTTCCAAATAAGATCACATTCTGAGGTGGTAGGGTTTAGGGTGTCAACATATCTTTTAGGAAACTACATCTATAACATTGATTTAGAAGACTAATCATCTGAAGAAGAATTGTGGTTGGGAGTGAACCACAATGACTCCTACAGCCCTCGAATGAATAAATGAGAGAATGAATGACCGTGGTACATACAGCTTCACATGAAGTTAAGTGATAGCTTCTTGGTGAGACCTGGAGTATAATCTGAGCCCTAGAACTCATTGAAGATATGTGGGCACTTGTGCCTTCTGCTCATGAAAGATTGTTGATCATAGTTATGATTTATCTCTGGCTGTGTCTTTAGTCAGGAACTCGACCCCTCAAGGAGAGCGAATGCTGTTCCTCTGGGAAATTTTGACGAATTATATCATGACATGGTTTCCAGGAATGCATTGTGGTGAAAAAGTCCAACCTTCTTTTACAGACACTCTACAAGTACCCATGAACACCTCCCCTCATACACACAAACCATCTTCACTAGGACAACTACAAGACAGCAGCCAGCTGACCAGCAAAGCCACCTCTCTGTGGGTAGGAGGCGGAGGGCACTCCTGGAGACCCTGTTCACAAAGCTTCCTGAAGTTGCCTTGTTGTTTTAGAATATGTTAGGTCTCCCTTATCCTCAAACATATCACACACTTCTTAGAAGCCAGACTTGAAATTTGCGTCCACCATCGAAAGTCCTGTGTAACACATAATGCCAGATTAGGGGCTGACAGCATTGTTGAGTGGGCACTAAATTGCTTTCCTTGTTTTTTGGAGGGAGGTGGGGGACTGAGCAGAGTTGGGGGACTAGGTGATGTTAAGCCTTCAGAGTACCCCTGAGAGCATCCAGAGTGAAAAATAAAAATCTCCCCCTCATAGTCTATTAATTAGAAATTCATGCCAGTAGATCCTTTTAAAATATACACTTATCTCCACAGAAAGCTAGCAGTAACAGTCAGCCATTTTTTATTGTAATTTTCCCCTCCTTTAAGAAGGGCTG